ATATTGCAGTTAATATACCATGTGACTATGGACTGTGTAATGCACTCAGCTGTCTGTGCTTTTTATGTGAAGAATATGTTAGACAGCTTGGCAGTTTGGAAAGAAAAATGGCATGACTGTATTGACAAGGAAACCAAAAGGAGTATATATAAATAACAAATACTAATTTTCACATACAAGCAGAATTAATTTAAAATACTCTCATGTGTCTGTAACAGTTACCCAGCAACATAATGCTTCAGAAAGATCAGTATCATTTCTATACTACAGAAAGGAGCAAGTTGGATTCCAGGTTTAATTAATTATATATACTGATTTAAGCTATTAGAAACGGTTTTAAAAACTATATTTACAAAAACACAAAATCATTTTCTGTTTAGCTTGAAGTGAAATGAAAATATGACCTGTCAATTAATCTGGAAAATTACTGTAGGAATAGAATCCTGGAAGTATTAGTATTTCAGAATAAAATATTTCTCTAAAGATTCAAAATGACAGCAGCTTCAGTTTTGAATTGTATATTATCCCTGTCAATATAAGTTGATTCAGCTGTAGACTATTAACAGGAACATTTCAAACAAAGACAAATACTTGTAAGAAAAAACCTGCTTCTTAAAATGAGAAACACTATGTGTTACATTTAGTTTGTCAAGGAAATTATGATAAATCTGAATACCTCAAAGCAGAAAAGTGTGATTAAGTGGTCTGAACAACTAGTGGCAATATCCATCCTAATTATTTTCCCTATGATTGCGTGATATCTTCTGAAAGCATAGCCTAGCTCATAGCAAAATACAAATGTGATAATTGACATTTTCAAGCTAGGGCAGCAAAGACACCTAGACACACAGCCTGGTTCTTAAAGGCTGCATTACAGTTTTTGTGCATGCATACAGGTTCTTACAGCATATGGTAAGGGAATGTATCTTTCATTCTGTCCTTAGAGGAGTCGGGTTTGTTCCCTTGATTTTAGAAGAGGCCTGTAGTCACAGGCAGTCATTGGAAAGACTGCTTTCTCTTCCCCTCCAGCAGAATGACAGTTTAAAGGGGCAGTAAGGAGATTAGTATCTTCAAGTTTAAAATTGACATTTGCCAAGCAAAAAAAACAGAGGTAGGGAGAAGATATTATTGTTTTCTATAAAAACTTCAGGGATAAACACTGCAGGTGGAAGAGCTATTTAAGATGAACAATGCTGGCATAACAAAAAATGAGTATACAGTGCCCCTGAATAAATTTATGGTGGACATTGAGAAGAACTATGAATGGAGTGAGGTTCTGGAGCAGCCATCCACAGGAGCAGAGAGGACATGAGCACATTTGGTGTTAGGATGCGTTTTATTATGCTCAGATTTATTTGATGTGGTTGTCTGCAATAACTGATTGGATGACTCTGTTATGTCTGGTGTGCCTCAGCCCATCCTTTCAAAGTTTCATTCTACCCAAAGAAAGCAACTGCCTTGGGAGATGTAAACCAGGATACAGTGGCAATTTTTTAGCTAGTTTGAACTTAATGATCACTACTGTGATGAGGCTTTGAGTTTAATCTAGTACATGGTAGGTACAGGATGACATGATTTACGCATCAAAGCCATGCGTGCCTTTCATGACAAGTATTTGTTGACAGGTGTGTTAGTATATCAGTCTTGAGAAAGAAAATTACTTTTATCCTAGATAAAAAATATTTCAAGAATTTGCAGCAAATCATTGAAACCTTATCAAGTTTGCCATCACTATTATGTGTAATTAAATGCCAGAGATGTTTAACAATTGAAGGATCCCACTGAAATCTTAGAAATAAAGATGGAGGCCTAAGAAGATCGAGACACATTTTACAGACTCTGTTGCAGTGCTGGTCAGATGAGACAGCTAGAGCAATCACTAGCTCCTATAAGTCTTTCATGTTTTAGAGTTTGTGAATATCTTTCTTGGTATTAAAACTGGTGTTTGATGTGTTTCCTATTTCTAGATTTTGTTTGATATTAAGAAAGTTATATCCTAATTCTGAGAAAGTTTAAGTTTTATTTTTCCCTGAGCATTTTATTTCTCATTTTTTTTTTTTCACAAAATGTGATGAAAATGTTTCCAGATTTATAAACATTTTAGTATTTTGACCAGCTACAGCTATATTCATGATACAATTTCATAACTTGCTGTGAAATAATAGGGGAATACTTGAAGTAGATTAATTGAATTGACTGATGTATGGTTTCCTTAAACATTTGTAGTGCTATATCCTCCATTTGGTTCAGAAGTATTGTGTACAGGCTGTAGGTAGTATAAAACAGAGAAAAAACCATCAGTTTAGCATCTGGATTTCAAAAATGCAAAAAGGGTGAAATGAAAAAGCTGGAAAGCCAGGATAGTATCGTCTTCTGTGATATTTTGATGTCTTTCTATAAACTCAATATTGAAGAAAATACAATGAGATCATCTAGGTTCTACATGTTCACTGTCTTTTATTAGAAGCAAGTCTTTCATTGAAGACAGACTTATCTTATAAGTGTATAGTCCTAGTGGGTTAATAGAGATTAGTTCTGAAGCGTGTATCATAATGATATGAACAGATCCCCTTCAGTAAATGCATATTGTTGTACGCTTTGGTGTACTACTGTGAAGGAAATTGGGTGTTTAAATATGAAGCGTCTTATCAATCCAAAATTTGTACTAAATTAGCAATATGTCATATTGCTGTTATATTCCCCTCCCTCCTTTTTCTTCTCATACATTGTATAAATCTTATATTCTTCTCTTGTCTACTCTCACAGAACTCCAAAATTATTATTTTGGTTTATGGGTGATAAGAAACCTCTGCATATATCCAAGGAAGAACATTTTAATTAAATCTGCTTTCCTTCCTGGGTAATACAATGGACTGACTTGTTTCATCATTTAGTAATTATTGCCAAATGCCTCTAGTTTATTCATCTAGATTTTAGAATGGTAGAATATTGTCACATTTCAGTGAAATTCAGGGTTGAAGGTTTAGAAAAAGAACAGAGAAACAGGTGCTAGGCCACATTAACGTATGTATTTCAAAAGAGAATATTAAGCTTTAAAAATACATGCAAAATTATTTTGGTGAAGAAATATGCCTAATTTTGTGGGAGGCTGAAACAAAGTTGTCACTGAATTGAGTAATAAGTTTGAGATCAGTAAAACCTCAGTAGATACAAATCAGTTTCCATTTATCAGGATGGTGATTTTATTCCTACACTAAAGCTGATCTACTTAGTATTTTTTATTAATTCTATTTTCAAGCCCACCAATACCACATGACAGCAGTGGTGTCAGTAAGATCTGGAGTGGGGGTTGAACAGGTCTGGGTCTTAGACTTTATGCCACACCTCTGCAGTTTACTTGTAGATTCAGGTGCTCAGAGAAAAAGTGAAACAAAGAAATCCTCCTAGGGGGAAGAGGAGAGGTGATATATCTCCTTTTCTAGGGGTATACTGCATGACTTTGAGGAATAATGTAGAATTTCCACATTCTGTTTCTCTAATTCACAGCACAGTAAAAAAGCATATTACATATTGTTAATGAAGTGCTTAGGTGCACTTCTGGGGACAATTGTCAAGTACTATGACTTGTAAAAACGAAGATATTGAAGAAATTACAGTGACAGTGAAAGTACAAAAGAAGAAATTCTTTACAATGGGAGTGAGACACTGGCACAGGTTGCCCAGAGCAGCTGTGGCTGCCCCCTCCCTGGAAGGGTTCAAGGCCAGGTTGGACGGGGCTTTGAGCAACCTGGTCTATTGGAAGGTGTCCCTTCTTACAACAGGGAGGTTGGAACTAGATGATCTTTACAGGCCCCTTCCAAACTGAGCCATTCTATGATTTTACACATTAATGGAGATCCCCATTCTTAGTAGCTGTGGTAAGAAGAGAATTGAAACATTGAGCTCTTAGTCCCTTGCAACAGTGAGCAAGGTTTGTTAAGGAAATTCCAAATGCATGGAAATGTCTGTTTCTTTTTGCTTCATCTCCTTTCTCCAAGTGCACTTGATGCTACAAAAGTAATTTGGTTTTAATTTAAGGACTTAAACTTAGTTTCAAATACAACATAATACATAATTACTCTCAGAATTACTTTTCTCCTTGAAATTATGGTCATTTTCTTTCTAGAAAGGAATAGCATAATTTAAATTTCAGCTTGTGTCACTCTGAAATAATGTTGTATGGTAGATTACTCCTGTATGCATTTAACAAAGTTGTCACATATCACACATCCTGGAAAAGTGACTATAGTGGGAAGGTTGCAGATGGTAGCCTATTAAAACATATTCTTTAGCAAGCCTGGCTGGCCAATGAAACTGAGCCAAGCAATGTGCTCTTGGAGAGATTTTCTAGTTGAGGTTATTTACCTTCAAAAGTATAAAGTAATAAGAGAAAGTAGGTTATGCCTGTCTCTTGAAGAGAACGCCACATATAGGTTTTTGTAACTCGTATCTGCCCTGGGGTAATACATACAGTCCCTGGGATAAGTGAATTTATAATAAATAGAACAGCACATTTCACAGAACTGGTGCAGGTATTGCACAACATCTGCTTTTTAGGTATGCCCCTGTGCCCAGCAAAAACTCAGCCCATAGCATGGAGTATATATCCTGCTATGTAACCTGTAGGCAGGAATTAGGAGCTTGAGGAAGGAAAGACTGTATAAAGTGGACTGGAGGAGATATTACCATGTTTTAATCAGTTTTTATGATAAGGAAACTGAAGGGGGCTTTGTCCATTCCCCCTTTTTTTAGTGAAACATTGAACACATAGTGATTATTTGATAGATAAGTATAATTAGTCTTCAATTACCATGAAATTGTCATACATTCCCTTTCCAAATTTCTGGCACTTTCAATTCCTCCAATCAGTGTCATGCTGCTAATCTCACATTGGCAAGAGGTGAGAAAACAGGCCTTGAAATAAGAATTATCCTTATTTGTTGAGCACCAAGGTCTGCATTTGAAATTGAATGAATGATACAGCTGGCTAAACATTGCTTTTACTGGGTGATGAAATGAATGTTATATGCTTTATCTTTAACTCCATCCAGCCTTTTGTGCAAAGCTTTAGTTATAGGTTTTTGATCAGATAAGTTGTGGTTGAGGTTACACAAGGTCTGCCCTAAAAATGCTTTTTCACCGAAATACTGGACTTTGCAAAATGTCTTCAGCTTTCCGGTTGTGTTTCCATCTAACCAGGGAAGGAAATAGAAATAATGGAAATGTGACTATACTGTGCATAAAAGATTCCCCCCCCCCCGATATATTAAAATAATTTACAAGTAGATCTGAGTGAAACTTCGGATTTACAAGTTGTATGGATTTGCCAGAGGCAATGTAGTTTTTCCAAATTTTAAAGGGTCAGATTAGCTCTGGTCTTTGTGCAGATAGTGACAAGAAAGGATGCAGAAACTCTCTTATTCCTCTGTAATTGTCTGCACTGTAAAGTCTAGCAGTAGTTATCCCCTTCTGCAACTCTGAGATCTTGAATTGTGGGGCTTTCTGGTATGTGTGAAAGAAAGAAGGGTCATTACCCTTCCCTGCTTCCATGTTATTATGAGAAGGACACTGTAGCATTTCAGAGGTTGCAGAACCCTGAAGTCATCAGAAAAATTTATACTATAGGAACAGAAGTCATTTTTTTCCTTGCTTCCCTGCCCCCATGTTTCAGGTCTGTGAAATAAGAAATTAGTAAACTTTCAATTGGCTGAGTAGAGGATTTCATGTTTTTCCCTTATTTATGTGTGTGTTGTGTCTGTTCTCCAAATAGGTTCCAAGAGACCTGAGAGAGTTCTGGTCTGAGCAGACACAACTGAACTCTACCATTTCCCATGTTAATAAAATGTTGAATTATTACATTAGCATAATACTGAGTTTAGAGAGTCCAGTTGAATATGCTGATTTATTAGCCCTCCCTCAGTGTTGTATTAACAATGTGTCTCTGAGGATAGTGAGAGTAGATACACCTCTACCCTGACTACACACAGTTAACAAATTATGTACCACCTCCTCTTAAATATCCCCTCTTCGATATTGGAAATGTGCTGTCCTGTACCTCTGTTTTGTCAGGCCCTTAAACCTGTGGTGCTTCAGACACAAAAGCTCCAAAATGTAGTCCTCAAAAGACCATTTTCAAGTGCTGCATTAAATATCACTGATGCCTTTTGTCAAATACATTTGCTGGTAGGGAACAGGAAGTAATTTGAGTTCGAGAGAGGACAAACATTCCCAACCTTTGGATATATATTACCTTGGACTTTTTAAATCACTCTCGCAATCTTGTGTCCTCACACAGAAATAACTCTTTTTTTTTTTTTTTACTTTGGGGAAAAAGGTTCAGAAGAGGCTAAGGGTAAGAAAACTGTGAGCAGAATTTTCTGTCTCTGATTGACCATCTAAAGAAACTCCACGTGGAAACATAAAGCAAAACATTTCTGTAGCCAGGCAAAATTCCTGGTGGATTTCTGAATGATACACAGTAATCTAATCTAGAGCTTTCTGTAGCCCCTGAAGTTTCCTGAGGTGCATAGCACAGTTGGTCTGTTGTGTTTAATTAAGAATAAACTCAGCTAAGAGGTTTGGTTGTTTGTTTTTGTTTTTTTGTTTTTTTTTTTTTTTTTTTGTTTTGTTTTTTGTGTTTTTTTTTTTTTTCTTATTTTAATTTGTTTTAGCTACTTTTAATGTGTTTAATTGACGTAGACAAGTAGATGTTTATTTGTTTGGCTGGATAAGCTTGTGATGATTTGATTTCTAGTTTTATAATAAAGATAGGAAATGAAGGAGAGGCTGTTTGAAGTTTATTCCTCAGTGAATAATTCACTAGGAAAATGTTTGATGAGAAAAGAGCTCGAGCAGAGAAAAGCATCAGAATCTTTACCAAATTACTCCACAGGTAATGGTCTCGTCCACTTCTAACCTCCTACCACAGTGCACCCTTAGGGGCAAGTCAGCTTATAGAAGTGGAGGAAATGCAGAACTTGCTTCTGCATGACTCCCAGATACTACTTCATGATTTATGCTCCAGATAGATTTCCATTTTATTTTTCACTGGTGATAACAAGGATGATAAACATCATTCACTATAATTAAATTTTTAAAATTTGACAGGTAGAGATGACTTGTATTGCAGAGTTTTTAAAAGAATTATCTAAAGCATTTTTTTGTCCACAGATCTACTTCTGAATAAATCTTGGAAAAATTGGGAAGGTATAGCTGCCCAAAGGCAAATGCTAATATTTTAAAAGAAGATCATCCAAGCATGTGTAAATGTATATCCACCCAGGAAAATAATGGAAAAGCTTAACTCTTGTAATGAATATTACCTCTTTCATTTCAAGATTCCAAATATTGCCTCTCATAAGTTTTTACGAAAAATTTACCTAGATTCATGTGGCATTTCTGTTAGAAAGTCCCTTTATAGATGTCTTATTTTAGTACCATGTGAGTTATTTTTGGAAATATTTTCTTTTTCATCTGACTGTAGATATTTATAGAGAAGTTAAGCAATATTAGATTCTTTATCTGATAGAAAGAAATTTTAAACACAAGGCCAGTATGAACTTCTAAACTCAGGTTTGATTTTGCAGCTGAAGAGGGTGAAACTTGCCATAGAGGTGTATAATAGAGGCAAAAAGTTGTCAGAGTCTCAGAATGGGAGTGGACAAATTCAGAGAAAATACTTGTGAGCTATGGGATACCAAGAGGCTCTCTGTGACTGATGAAATCCTTGAGAAACCTTAGGAATGCTTGGAGAATATCAACGTGTTTATACTCTTCTGCTTGCTGCTGATCGCTGTTAGAGACAGGCAGAGCTCTTATCTAACCTGACCATTCTTACATAGATCACTTTGTGAGCTGTAATATAAGACAATTCATTCAGCACACCTATTTTAGATTGGATCCAGAGTGCTTAGAATTCATGACCAAAAACCACTGCTGCTTTAGCTTAAGAGAAATTCTTGGAGCATTGAGTTCTGCATTGTTAGTTTGTATTGTCTTATGAGGTTCAAAAATTGCTTTGAAAAATTGGTTTCTGAATGGTTAGGTTTTCTTATGACCCCCATTTTGACTTCTAACCTTTAGATAAACAGTGTTGGGAGAACAGGAGTTAGCCCATTCAGAGCTGTCTGTGCAAATAAGGTATATATTCAGTAACATTAAAATGAAGAAATAATACTTTCTGTGCAGGCTTTCTGATGAAAAGCTGAACATTTCAAAGTGTGAAATTGCCAGCACATACAGTGTCATTACTGCTCAAAGTGTTTGCTGGGAAAAAAAAAAACTCCTAGGGAACTCACTGATGTGTCTAAATGTTATGGGGAATGCAAGCTTTGAGGGCCTTTTTTTTAAAAATTGAGACCTTTTCCCCTTCAGCTTATGAGTGTTGTGAAATATTCTTACTGCCTTTGAGTTGCAGTAGAATTAATGACTTGATCTTAGATTTACTGTGATTTGTTTCCTGTCATGAGCTGATAAAAGTAAACAATTTAAAAATCTCATAGTAACTAACACATTTATAAATGCAAGGACACGTCCAGGAAATTTTTGTTTGCAGATCAAAATCCCAGAATTTATAGAGTCTGTCTTAGTTACTATTGTGAAGAAGGGGAAAAAAACCCAGTGAACTCTATTAAAAAGATTGATGCATGACTACGAGAGCTCTTGACAATTGAGATTTGTCTCTGAAGTGTTGTTTAACATATGTATGGCAGAAGAAATGCAGGGGAAGGAAACAAATTTTCTTATGATTTTTTGAAGTACTTTAAGTCTAGCAAAATAACGAAATGATTGAAACACAAATTCCATGTAGCTGAGAAAGCAAAACATTCACATTTTACAAAGCTAGAATTCATAAGCAAAAATATTTCCTCAGTATTTGAGCTATAGGTAGGCTATATGGCTATGATAGTTGGGTCTGGTCAAACCACTCAATTCACTTCTCTTGCTGAGTCACTGTCTTGGACAAGACATTTCTGTTTTGAGCTTCCAAGCTGATAGGTAACATTTCCTGTGATCTGCATGCTCCAGTAAATGCCCTTTTGAAGAAAAAGTCCTCTTTCTCTTACTTAGGCTGAAATGTACCTTACTGGATGAGACTGACAATTGTCCTGTGGACTCTCTCTAATACTCCTTTGTACATTGTAATAATTTTTGTCCCTGAAAAAGCTTTGCAATATATGATGTATTCACTGTTGATTTAAGTTTTGTATCACACCAACTGCCCAGGTCAAAGCAGTCTTTTCTGAACACTGTTGTGACATGATACTACCTGGTAGGTTATTCCTCTTCCTCTTAGATGTTTACACCTTTCAGGCAGGCTGTTATTTTATTCTTGCTGCGCTATCACTTAGCTGGATCTTGGGTACTTTGTTCTTTTACACATGTTAACATTCCTGATAATGTTAGTGAAAGCTTGAGGTCCTCAGTAGCACAACAGAACAAGCTCGTGTTCAGTTTTTCTGTGCAAATTAATCCTCTCTGATCTCCAGTAATTTATTTTATGACTTTAAGTATCAACACTTTAACATTAACTTTAAGGTAAAGAGATGCCTAAACCTGAATTTTGTTCCTGTTACATATCTGATTCAATTTTCTGTGACAGGAGCAAGTTGACAAGGCCTTTACATTTATGAACAGGTGTTTACCTTTTTTTTTAATTTTACCTGATAGTATTTAATCTGCCTTTTATTATATATTTAATTTTGAATTCTACTTATATTTTCAAACACTCCATTATCCAGATGATTTTAATTTAAGCATTTTGAGGGACTAAAAGTTGTGGGTTATAATATAAAAAAGGTACTTACTTCGAATCATTTTGATTATTAGTTCTTTTTTCATTTTTTTTTCTCTCTCCTAAATATGGTTGCAGAACCTCCTAGCTTTTAGGATGTATTTCTCAGCAATGCTAAATCACAGCTTTACAGTCCAAAACAGAACAGTTTTAACAAGCTTTGTTTATGTTTGTTTATGTATTTATTGCTCTGCTTTGTTTGCTTAAAATTCTGACTTGCACAACTACAGATAAGTATTATCTTATTTCAGAATTTCAGTTCAGCTATCAAGTCACTTTTACACATTGTACAGAGGTGCGATGTGAGTCTCATCGTATTATGAACAGTAGCTATGTTAGAAAACATCGGGAATATTTTCAGTCAGAATTGTCAGTTAAACACTTAGGCCCACAAAGACTACTACCTCTTTTTGTATAAAATAATGTGTTACAGGTGGACCAGTGTTCTCAAAACCTCTAGAATGGCCTTGGAAATACTGCTGAAGAAGACACCACAGCCCCCTGAATAATATTGATACTATACTTCCTGATGGGTTACGCAGCAAATGGGTGATAAAACTTTATAATACCTTGATTTAATAATTGATGCCTGTATATCTCTGGGGTTTTCTATGCAGCGTGGGTTGATTAGTTGCTATGTGTCAATGCAGGTTAGTCTGCTGCATCTCCAACCTATCTCCTACCAGCTAGCTAATTTATGATCCATCCAGGAAGCCAGAGATACCACTGACTAGATCTCTGTGTGTTAGACTGATGTTGGTCTTGTTTTCATCACTTAACAAAGTGTGCAGCCATGATCCCAGAATATTTTCTTTCAAATTGTCATTATTTGCTTCAGCCCAGCTGTTTCCTTGGCTTTGGAGGAGGTATTTTAACAGCCACTTTTATTTTGTAATGTTTTGTTCAGCAGAGTTGGTTACAGATACTCTGAGATAAATGGTGGTGAAAAGAAATGATGGCTCATCTAATATTCAATTACATATATGTCTTTCATTTGTTCACCTTGGCCACCTGCCCAGCACAAATAGGTGCTTATTGTTCCCTAAATAAATTATGCTGATTCTAAATTGCTCTGCAATTTTATACTTACAAGAGTTCTGTGTTTACTTGCTGGCACAGGCCGCTTTAAAGATATTCAAGCTTCTGTGTTTTGGCTTCTGTTACACTCATTACCTTGAAAAGTAATTATGCAAATATCACAGTGCATTAAATACAGGCAGGCTTTTATTTATTTATAAACATCTCAAAATTTCAATTTCAGGGCATGCAGCTGAAAAATGTCTGAACAGGGTGAGAGGTGGTGCTGCCTCCCCACCCATTGCTGCAACTGAGCAGCAAGCAGTAGATAAGCGAAATTGTTCCATTCTTTGCCTTGCCTGCTTATTGAAAGGAGGAGTGCAGTAAATTGGGCTGTAGACATCCAGTCAGCATGGGATTTGGCTCTGCTCACAATAGGCAGGCACTGAACTGTATGTGAAGAACTTATTTTCTCCCATGAAAATAAAGAGACAACCCTGGAGAAAAAAAGAAAAGCAAGCTGAGATAGAGATGTTTGAAAGGTAATTTGTTTGAAAAGAAACATAGGCTTCCAGGAGCCCCACAATAATTAATAAAAATCTTAAAGCTTGCCAGATTGGACTGATTCTGATCTCTTAGTGATATTGATAAAATGTTGCCCTATTCAAGTGATCTGAGTCACTGTTTACATGAAATGGGAATTGGAGCTTTGCTTGGCTGTTGCGGAGAACTGTGTACTGCAAATTGCATCTCTTAAGAACTGCTGGGTACAGAAGGCTGCTATTATCAATGGATAGCCAGGGGGTGCAAAGGGATTTTATACAGTTGATCCAAATTGCACTTTTATCCACCTACATAGAAATATACTGAAAGGAACACCAGATGGGTGAGCTTCTGGGGAACTACAGACCATCATCAAAAACTCACATGTCCTTGAAAAAGGAGTAAAATGTTGCTATCTGGGGAAGGGGTTTGAAAAGCCACAAGTATTGAAGAAATAATTGGGCTCTACTATGTGGAGAGCCCAGACATTTAGATTTCTGCAAAAATCTATCATAAATTTTACCTTGCAGGTTGCTTTTCATGCGTGATGATCAGGCCCCTTTTAAATGTTTCAAAATACATTTCTCAAGATCAGACAGTGCTATAACTGTTCAATAAGTTTGAAAATGCAAACCTCTTTTACGCTTAGTAACCTTTACTCCTATCTAGAGACTCTGTCAAAAGAAAAGTACGCTGTCAAGGAAAGACTGCACAGAGATCCTCACAAGAACATAAATATTAACTGAAGCATCATTAATAGCTCACTGGCTAGCACAAGATAGAGAACTAGGTGCTCTCAGAGTTCAGATCTCGGCTTTGTTGCCTTTTTTGGAGTCTTCTTTTATTGCACTAGACATCCATAAAGTAGGTAGAATATTACTACTTTGCAGGAACTATGCAAAGCTAAACCAGAGCTTCAGAAGTGAAAGATTCAATGGAAAAATTATATATTAATAATAAATATACCTAAGTTTTACTGTTTGCCTTAAGGATGGTAGCAGGAAGTCCAAGATTTCACAGTCAGTATTCATAATACACTATTTTCCATAAACAGATTTGTTCTGTGCTGAAGTTAAGACACAAACATACAAATGCACAGAAGGGGTTTAAAGAGGTAGTAGTGGCCCTGATCCTGTTTCCATTCCCATGTAATTGCTTTACTTGATAGGACTGGGGCAAAGGGAGTTGTATATGTGTTTAAATACATATATATGTGTGTGTATATGTGCAGGCATATATGGAGACAGATGTGTATAAATACATATATATGTGTGTGTGTAAAAATGTAGACAGCTAGCTAGATATGCATACCTGGTTGGTATGGCTGAAGTGAAAGAAAGGAAGCATGCAAGGTCATCCCTGCACAGAGAAGGACATTTGTTATTACTCTTGATTATTTCAGCACGGTAACCTGCTATGGATCTATTAACTCCTGTTCATTGGATCAGAGCTGCTGTGACTTCCCCTGATTTTATTTGCAGCTACTTTTAAGAAATTGTTAATCTGAAACTCACATAGGTTACCTTCACAAGAGTCAGGTAAACTTAACCATTATTAAGTCCATAAAGAGATAAAATTTTGTTTGCTCTCATTCTTGTGCTGCTTGTCCTGCCTGTTGCCAGTGTCCTTTTATGTGTATATGCACATTGTACTTCAGCTGAATGAGGCTGAGACTGAAAGTGTGTATGTACAGAGTAACATATTCTGTGCTTTAAAAATATGCAGTGTGATGTAGGCTCCTGCAGCTCTTTATGAACATGTATTGAATGGTCTCATATGGAATAGTAATCAGAATATTAACTTACAATGCAAATATGTCATTTAGTCCCTTTAAGCTAAGAAGGTTTCTCAAATACAGTGGGGTTTATGCTATATTTTTATGCATGGCATAGCATTTTCCTTAGGTCTTGGTGCTATATCTGGAAAAAAAAATAGCTAATGTAAAGGCAGGGCATTATTATTATTATTATTATTATTATTATTATTATTATTATTATTATTATTATTATTATTTGCCACTGTTAGAGCTCACTGTTAGATCTCTGGCTGCTAACTTCAGTGGAAAATGGGATATTGCATAAGAAAATATACACATTTTCCAGTTCTTCAAGGGAAAAAAAAAAAAAAGGAACACCTGGTTTAATTGTCTATTTGGTGTATGCAGAACACCCTGAATACCCTTGTGCTTCTTCCCTGCATGTTCGATTTTCCCATATTCATCTGAAGTGGTTATCTGCAAGTAGAAAACAAGAATGTGTTGAAGTACAGACAAGGTATGTGTATTTATTTTTTGGGGATAGGATTTAATTAGTGTCTGTTTTCGAAAGAACTTACCACTTACAGATGCATTTTCAAAGCAGTCAAACTGCCTTATCTATGCAGAACTTTGGAAAGTCTAAGTACTTATTTTGGAAGCAAAATGGAAACTGAGCTCTTTAAGAAAACCTTACATTGAAGGCAAGCGACTGTCTGGTGGCAAACATTACAGTGATTAATACAATAGGTAGCCATTAGGATCTGGCAGCTGGTCATTTAGGGAAAGAATTTCAGATATGACCACAGGATTTAGATGTCCACATCCCATTAAAAGTAATTTTGCATTTGGGTTCCAAGGTAATTTTGAAAAGTCTCCTTCCAAAGGCTTAATTGACAAGCGTATGATGAAAAGTTAAAAAGCAACATGGCCATAATCAGAATTATTACTGTTTCTGTGGTTGACAGTCTCAAGAGACACGTTAAGGAACACAAAGTCTATTGGTCTTTGTGGCAGGCTGCTGAGAAGAAGGGGTGGGGGTAGCACCTCTTATAAGAGTGGTAGCACTGGCAGCAACTAGACCAAGGATTGCAGACTTCCAGCATTTTCCCTTCCCGGTTTTCTAACTGCATCCTTAGCGCTTCTTATTCCACCTCCCATGGCAGACACAGTCAAATCCTTTATCTCTGGGGCAACAAATTTTTGCCTACTCTCTTGAAAGTCCCCAGGGAACACTGAATTTCATCCTTAGAGGATTCCTTGTCACTTGACTTGTGGCACAGTTTTGCATGGTTTGCCAGGGCTGTTTAATACCTCAGTTTTGTTGACAAGGCAGCTTCAGTTTCTGTCACTCATCCAGGATCCTCCACAACCTCATCACATACTCAAAAATATCCTTACCCAGCGTAGTGCTGTGTAATTCCTCCAACTGACTTGTAAATTAGGATCCAGTTGCTAGAATCATTAATAATTTTTTGCCAGCTTAGATATTTGAGGGTAACCTGCCTTCTTCCTAGTTGCTGCTCTAGAAGTTTGTTTTCCAAGTCTGGTGTCGCCTGCCAGCCCTGTGCAGATATGTTAGATACCTTTGGCCACTTCCTGAGGCCTTAGGAGCCTATATTGAGTCAACTGCATTGAATTCTTCTTGGGCAAAGAGATGCCATCTGTAGCAGCCTCTGTGATCATGTAACAAGGATATAGTAATACTTCCATGGTGTTTCACACATTGATAAATGGCTGAAATTGAGGAACCTGTGTTTCATCTGAAAGCCAACAATCAAGCTATTGGGCTGAGAGAAGCTCCCTCACTCCTAAAAGCACAGAGACTATAGTTTTCTGTTTTGCTTATGAGGGCTGCATACAGACTTGGGAAATATGCTTGTAATGCTAAATAACACCTTATGGTCGAATAACTCTTTTGTGGGACTTGATATTTCGGGGTATCAGTGATGTGGCATCAGCTTTAGTTAAAAGAATGAAATATTAGCTGCTGTCTAGCAAAACTTTGTCACCTTCCCCCTTTGCACGGCTTGGTGCCTGGACTCCTGTGACCTGTCACAGCCGTCACAGTTTTATTCTCTCACAGTCTTAGTAACTGTCACACATGAAGAATGGTATTGCCCTGACTAAATCCCCTATTTAAAATGTAATGACATATTTTCTTTAAAAGTTCTTCCAAGCTTTCTATGTAGTGTAACTGGTAAAGTAAAATAGTCCAATATTAAGAAAAGGAAACAGAGGTAGTTATTTTTTTAAAAGAAGATTTATAAAAGTCTGTCATACATGCTGTCTCCTTTAGCTATGAAACTTTATTTCTGTAAATTACAGCATATGTTAAGTGAGTTTGTGTTTCTCTGGAATATTAATATGACTGTGCTGTGTGCAGGAAGAACAATTTTCAGAAGAAAAATCAATATAGAATTACAACGTGTCAGATCTAAAAAAAAAAGTAACTACTGTGCTCAGTGATTTAAGTAGAGGAAGTGGAGCAGTCCAAGAAGGTGTTGTTTGTAATTAAAACTCATGAAGTGAGTGAGATGTCTGAACGCTGTTTCAAAGTCAAGACTTTTACTCTCTAAATGCGATAAGGGACAAGAGGCCTGGAAAGGGACCATGCTTGGTGCTACTGATACAGGAAAAGGTTGTGAAATGCAGTTGGAACCAGAGAATGGCAACTAAGATTGTCATGGAAGTCATCTGCATTCTATGCACTGCAGCTCCTCAATACACCCGTTACTGAAAATTTATCAAGGAGAAAGCATGAATTAAGCATTTTTTTTTAGCAAGGTGTGAAAAACTAAAGGTGACTTCAGCAAGAGATTTGGGATGCCTAAGGGTATTCAAGAGAATTCATGAAATGTCTTAATTTTTGACACCTTTTTGAATACCTTCCTACTCCTCTTATCTTTGCAACACTTTTCATCCTCTTCTAAAACCACAGTAAAGGAGATTCATATTGAAAGGTGTCAAAGAATATTCTTAATTTTCTTTTTCCTCTCAATGATTGCTGCCTTGTTCTGGCATGAAAACTTTTGGATCTGTCTATTCAAACTCTTACTCTGTGTGTTCAGAGAGATTCGTGTAAACACAGTCTCAGTCCCGAAGCAATATGAATTACAATGACTTGCCTAATGTAATCATGACACAGCATCCCTGCTAGAAAAAAATGAGAAACATTCTACATAGGTCAAGCAATAGCAAACTGAGTTAGAAAAATGAATGGAAAAATCCAGGCTTACTATTAGTATCGCTTACCTAGATAAGTGAACAGCAATATTCCATTTAAGCAGTCTTCCTCATAAATATGTGGGGTAAAAAAAAATTGTGGAGGCAAGAAAGTTAAGGCAATTCTATGAAGTATAGGAAGAATCTACAATACCTTACAGATCTCACTCCATTCTGCTCGACCAATTGCATTAACAGCACAGACTTTACAAAGATATTCTGTATTTGTATCCAGATTATATATTTCTAAGGTTCTACTGCTGTATTTTGCTTAGCTGCCCAGCTAGTTGTGTCTGGACAGTGTTATCAGGGCCAATATGAGCAAATTCATAAAATTCTACCTCAAAGACACTCATGTCTTTGGGGGATCAAGTCTAGTAAATTGTGAATGGAGAAAAATTTGTAGTACACAATTAAGTACCCTTTATTTTTGCTCATTTTCATTTTTGCATTCTTGGAAAGTTGCTGTTTGGCAGATTGTAATTTTGAAATGCCAATGCAGCTGAAATTCTAACCATAGCATGAAATATATGTGCGTTATACAGAATTTGTGGTCTGACTTGGAAAATGCTAAGCTTCCTCCTGGGAATTTCATAGTACCCTCTTCTAACATACTAAAATGAAATCAGGTTGACAGCAGTCAGAATTTTGCAACATGCATTTGGGATCTTATACAACTGGCATCCTGATCTTTTTAGCATCTATAAATATATAATGAGGAAAATTACATAGATATGATGTCGTCACATTGAAGGCCAAGACCAGGATTGAATTATTTGATCTGATGTACAGATATTTAAATACAAACATGGTACATCTATGTCTTTCTGCACTGGATCTTTTCACATAACCTATTTTTATATCACATATATAATAACATAAGAAACCTATTGACTACAGTAGAAATGTGATATGAATCAATTTATGCTTTAGTTTATCTCAAAAGGCAAGCTTGAAATGCATTGTTTCCTAAAAATAAAATATTTGAATTGATACTGTAGTCTTATTTACGCAAACTCATATGGGTTCATACTCCATAACAGCCTGAAAATATAATGATCTCTTGTGTATATTTAGAATTTATTCATGTCTTACTTTGACAGACCTCGAGTAAACAACAGCCTGATATATAACAACAGGTCTTGGGGCTGATTCATTGTCTATAGGTTCTGGACTTGAAAAGTTAACTATCTGATATTTTCTTTCTTTTCTTGGAGTTTCACAATCTGTATCTCGGTATGCACACACTTCATTACTCTGTGTAGGATGATGGGGACGCGTAGAGCTTAGTCTTCTGACAGTGTCTTCAGACAGCACACCTAAATCAAACAAGGAACCTAAAGATGGGCTTCAGAACAATGTTACTTGCTTGGAGTCATGAGTGCTTGAAACATGCCTTGGAACCATTATCTCAGGGATATTTTTCTGCTTTACTTTCTGACTGCTTTATTCTAAGGGATAGGACAAGTCCCTGTAAAATGGAGAAAAGTTCATCAAAGCTGCATTGAAGTTTTCGTAAGGGATCATCTCTTAGATGTGAACTAGATCGGAAAATGGAAGGAACCGCATTTTCTACTTCTTTCACTAAGCAGTGTGCAGATTGCAGAAACACAACTTGGCTTTCCTCCTTAAGAGCCACTTTAGAGTATTGAGTAAGAGCATTCATATATGATAGCTGACTGGCTGTATAGTTTATGTATTCTGAAATTTCTTTCTGTTTTTTAAGTTCAGTGTTTTCAAGCAACTCTATCATCTCCTTTTCTTGTTCGTGAAGAACCATACGTGATTTTAAGAATTTCTGATCTCCTTTCTTTTGATGTCCTTATATGTCTTGAAACTATTTTTTATCAGGATAACTTCCATTAGACTCCTTAATATACTGTAAAAAAAATAAATATCAGTTCAGTAGTTCGAAATTCATATTAAATTGTAGTTGTTACAAGATGCAGAATGATAAATTTTAGCTTTAAAAAATATCCTGTTAGGTAGAACATGGGAGAATAAGGATTCTGGTATTTTTCTCTCATCTCTGCTGCTGGTAAGCCCCGAAGGAAGTTGTTTGTGTTAAAACGCTCACATTTAGGTGTATAAAATTTGGCAGTTAATTGCTACTTTATTATTATTTCCTCACTCAAATTTATGTCCCCCAAAATGGGCGTGATAATTTTTACTTCATTACACAGGAAATCCTGAAGCTGAATTTATTGTGGCTCTGTATTATCTTTGAAAATTCACTGTGCCGGTATGAAGTTAAAATAATGACAGCAAATTCACCTGCACATCCCGCATTATGTCTGTGGCTGACAGTACATTCCTCTGATGGACATTATGTGAAAGTGTGATTAATTCTTCTGAAACTAAAGATTGCAGACTGTGAGGGAACAGAATCAAAAATACCAAAGACTGATAGTAAATTTCAATGGCATTCAGCTAACATCAGGAAATAATTTCACATTACACAATCCTGTACAAATATTCTACATCACTCTTCTCAAACTTAAGACTCTTTCAAAATTGAGAATTTAATGCTTCCAGCTGTTTCTCATTGTGCATGGTTCACTTTCCCTTTCAGAATGTTATTTTCTCTCCAATTTCACTATGTCCCCAACATATGTGATGTTACATATAAAGATCAAAATTAAAAGAAATTAATAAAATCCTAGTCTATGTTCAGCCCCCTTCCTTGCTATGGATCAAGTCTTAGTTAAAAGGAGTGACACCGCTGTGTTACTGCAGAAAAATGTGACCGCTTTGTCTCTTAGTCAGCATGGGTATAAGTATAAAACTGACTAAAGATGGACAATTCATAACTTGCCTTCAGGGGAATAAGCAAGCAGTTAATCTTCAAACATGTATTTCTGATTAAAAAAATATTAATTTTACTCTGCAGATGTAATTGGTGTTTATTCCATGCTGGGTCCCGTGGTATGTAATGAAGGTTCTGCTTCCTAGATGCACATTTCTGTTCCCATCCCACACATAGATCCCTCATTCTCTAATAGCTGAGTCTGGCTCGTGATGCCACAATGATGGCCTTGGTCCTTTTGTGTTTCTACAGTGGGAACACACTACATTTCTGACTCTTGTGCTGTGCAGAAAATTAATATAGACTGTCAACCATATGTTCAAGATTCTTTCCTGAGGTGGCATGGGGAAGTGTCAGAAGCAGCAGAAATACACACCTTTTCTAAATTTTGCAGTTGTATCAAAGAGAGAAGCAGGCTCTCTTGAACATGCGACTGCCAGGGGAATAGTCTCATGATCACTGTGCTGTGCATTCTTGCAGAACTCACAGATCAGGTCGTGGCCACCCAGACAGTATTCAGAGAGGTTTGAGTTGCTGTGCAGTAAGCAGCGCTGCTATTCATGATCTTCTTGATGTACTTTGGTGAAAATGTGGTCTTGAGCGTCATTCTTGCCATGATTTAAATGCAGACATTCATTACAATAGTTGATTCCACATATTCTACATATTTTGGTTGCCACTCTTCTCTCCCTGCAAGTTTCACAGTAGGCTGGTCTTTCACTGTGGTCAAATCTACACCTCTGAAAGCCACGTCTGCACTTGTATTTCTCATCTAGTTTTGGTTTTCCTCAGCTGAGTTTTATTTGTGTAGGGGAGGCAGTGTTCTTTGCTACACACTGGGCATATGATGATATAAAAGTTTTCAGTTATTTCAGCTTTGGTCTTGCTTTTAGTTATACATTTCTCACAAATACAGTGATTGCTTGGCAGCATAAATGGTTGGAGAAACATTTGCTTACACAATGGACAAGCAAGTTTGTTATGGAAAGAGTGGCTGGAGACATTCTTTTCTGATGTAATGACAGACACATTATTCCTAGTTCTAAATCTTGAGATGACATCTTTTGACCTAAATAAAATTGAAAAAAAACCCAAACAACCCCAAGAACTCAGAAATATCTGTATATTAGGATGTCATCACAAAATTATAACAGAGGCAGTTCTACTTTGCATACTAACCATCCTTTTATTCTGACTGGATATTTTATTTAAACAACTGGGTTATCACTATCAAGAATCCATTTTTTTATTGTCCTTTTCATAATTATTTCACTATATGTTTAATACTGTTGGCAGCAATAACAGTAAACAGATATCTCCATCATTGTAGGTCTGTATGGATTAGAGTTTTCCAGAAAATGTTGAAGACGTTTCTGATTAACATAGTAAAACACATTTACCTATGATCATCCTAATTTGTGGTCAATCAAGAAATCTATCACTTCTGAATTATTACAGATTTCTAGAATAAATTAAGTTTATTCTTAGTGTTAGTATCAGCCTTATCACTGATTCTTTATATTAATTGCAAAGACTTTAAAATGGGAATTTAAAAAAAAATATTATTTTATTTCAGAAGAGGGCTGATTTTTGGGATGTGCTAATCCTTCTTCTCTTCAGATCTTGATAGTCTTGACCTGCCTCTTAGCCTGTGGACATTATCCTTTTAAAAATACAATATTAATTTTATAATGCCTCCTTGAATATTTTCCATAGCCTTGACATCCTTCTTGAAGATGGACACCTGGTTCTAGGCCTCTGTGGTCTGACTCTGCTGTTCTTCCCTTTAGCATCCATGTTGTTATTGCTTACCTTCTCTCCCCAAATGTTCAACCATACTATCTGCTTTTCTGTCACTCGAAATATCAGAAAAAAAAACCCTAATGAACTAAAGAAAGTAGAATCTTCTGTTTCTATGAGGATTCCTTCTGGTCTTCAAAGTTTACCTAGGGAGGAATTAACCATGCATTTCCAGAGGTCCTCTCAATTCCTCTCATTTTGGTAGTCTTCTAAACTGGAGTTCTTCTGATAACTAAATTTCTGGCCTCCCTTTCCTCCCCCCTCCATACCTTTTTGTGAGTGTTCTTTAGTGTAGCATTTCTACAGTTAATAATTACCGTCCCCTTCCCATCTGGTTTCTTAGTTTTATCTTCTAAGACTGTTACTATGCCTTCTTTCCATTCTCTGTGTGGCATTTCTTCAGCCTTTATAATTATTTGTCTCCTTTTTGTCTTATTCTGAACATAACTGCTCCTTCCACTTCCAGTTAGCAGCAGTTTTACTGCCTCTTGCTTTATTCCAATTTTCCTTGTATCCTTGCTTGCAAGCCCCCGTGCTACAAACACATCCCTGTTTTCCTCCTTGTTTTAAGGTTCTCTGCATATCTTCCTTCTTGTTGCTACTTGGGTTTTTACACTGTGAGAATGCATAAGCATATATTGGCCATTCGAGAATTTTGTCTAGAAATCAAGTGGTCCTAATTACAAGTGAAATGATGTTCTGGAGTAGTCTTTGCCCCAGTCAGAATCATGAGCATAAGATTTCACTAATATCAAGAGAAAACTACTTTTTCTGTTTCTCAGAATGATATCCTGTGGTTATTTGAAATGGCTCTAACATGCCAACAGATTGTATGTTTCTAAATACAACGCATCCATTAAGACATAATGTAAATTAGAGAAACAAAACCCCTAGAAATTTTAAGAGCCCTTAACTCCACTTACTGAACAGCTCCAGGTGCTCTTGAGTGATGTGGTTCATCGACAGAGCTTCTGCAGCACTTGCTTGCATAATACTGACATGCTGAATTCTCTCCACCCCAGCAGCAGCATTTGCAGTCTGGCTCATGTGAACAAGAGCAGCAGCATCACTAGCAACTTGCTTGCTCTGCACAGGAGCAGTGGCTGCACTGGCAAGGTTTGTCTTCTTCATAGGGATGTGGGAAACAGGTACAGCTCCGCTCAAGGGTAAACAAGAAGTGCCAACACAGGCAGAATTCTTCCTTTCTGCTGTGGCAAGTCAGGCAACAGCAGTTTGAGCAGCATGACCATGGCAAATAGGGATGCCCATTTTCATCCACCCTTCTGTCAGATACTCGGAAGAAAGTTCATTGGTCCTTTCAGCTTTTCTTCACACTACAGCAGCTGAGCTCCAAAAAGGCAAAACCTCTGACTGTTGGGTCAAGCTCTGTGCTGTGGAGATGCACTTCATTCTAATTGGAAAGTGATGTCACAGTGTGACATTCAAATAAGGACACAGGCAGAATTTTATGCACAGGTACCTGATATAGTGATTACCTCATCTGTACATCACATAACAATAGTTGTTCTTCCTGAATTCCTTGAAAGCATTTCCTCCCTCTTCATGAATTCATAAGGACTTTATACACTTGGATTAGATACCCTAAGGCCACTATTCCATTAGGACCACATGCGTTTTGTCCACTCATCCGTGTGCTATAAGCAAACTCTAACCATCAATAGGGAGAGGTTTCTCATCAGGTCTCTAAGGCTTTAAGCATAACTAGCACACATTAAAGAACCTTACACTTGAGATGCATCTTGAAGCATATCCTTGTAACTGTCTTATTTCAAGCCCTTGTCTACCACTGTTTATGCTCTTGAACAATGTATGGCAATTGTTCCCTCAAGGCCTGATGAAAAGAATTGGCCTTGAATTGTAGGTTCAGTGCTATTGCTCATTGCTGTGGACCTGCCTCTTTCCCCACTGAGTCCAAGTGTGTTTCTTGCTCTTCCTTAAGCTGGCCACTCTCCTATAATGCAGTATCAGCGATATTATTTTTGTTGTTCTTTAGTTACTTTGTATTAGGAACCATTTTCTTTCATGTAGTTGATTTATTCCAAGATTATGTAGCATTTTTTACCTACTTACAGATATGATAATTTTAAATAAAAATCAAATTTGTGTAAAGAAAACATGATCTTCTCAGTATTGCATGCTTACTATAGCACTTATATGTAAGCAGTTGGACTCAATGATCTTGAAGGTCTTTTCCAGCCTAAATGATCCTATGATTCCAAAAAAGAAAATCTACCCTCTAAGAGTCATCTGCAACTGACATGAAAGAGCTTATTCTCTTACTTGAAACTGTAAAGGACAGTGATATCTAAATGGTACATATTCAAGAATACTGACTTTTGATGCTGGCTTCTATGCTGTAGATAAGTAAATTTTTCCAAAATTTAGCAATTCGACTGGTGTTAATGGGTTATGTATAACCGGGAATCACTGAGATATGCTTTGACATAGTTTACTGTAGCAGTTCCTTTGAGCCTATTTGCTCAAAGTCTGTCCTACCTAGAGATATTTTAATTCACTGATCCAGAGCCCTACAGAACATAAAGGCTGTGTCATTATGTGTAACCATTTACATGATGGACTATAATAGTTTCTTGGAATGGTAATAGCCTATTGTGTCAATTGGATTTTCATTAATAAGTACTAGAACTGTGTGCTGAATGGCTTTTCATAGTATAACCTGAACCTTTAATGGATGTTATTTATTCCATTTGTCTTTCCAGTTTAATTAATGGCAATGGTGTTTTATTTTGCAGATTTAATTTTGGGATATTGAAATGCTTTTGAATTTGATCATTAGAAAAAATGTATCTTGTGATGCTTGCCTGCTTTTCTTTTGCAAAACATTCATGAATAGATGTGGAGTTTTTTGAGTAAGGAAAGAAACAAAAAGTATGTCTTGTGCGCCATGTGCTGATACTTGGACACTCTTTTCCATTTTGATGTAATATAGAGGTTAATAGCAACTTGTGCAACATTCTCCTCAACATATTTCTTTTTTTTGGATTCTCTGTGAATTGTGTTTTTCCACTGACTCTTGGACAACTTTGTCTTCTGCCACATATAATTCCCACAACTTATTTTCTGCTATCTTTAGCGCTCTGGTTTTGCTTTACCAAAACTTTCTTCGACAGCCTCATTCCTGTGCTGCTCCCAGTACAGGTGGCTGGCTCTGCATCTCCCTGTAGTCATGCAGCCAGTTCTAAGATGGTCCCATTTCATTAATATGTTTATCCTCTAGCAGATACCGAGAGATCAGATCAGATCAGACTGGCTTCTGGAGAAACTGAATTAGATGCAATAGCTGCAACCGAACCAACAGACTTTTAATAGTGTTTGCAAACATGTTCCCCCATGCCTCTGGTTTGATCTGACTGTCATTTTCATCATAGTTCTCATGATAGTCAGACTGTGGTATGATGATTTCACCTACAAATAAGCTTGACTGTGCAAGGTGTTGAGGGGGAAAAAAAAAAAAAAAAAAAAAAAAGTGAGAGAAAGAAAAGCACAGTCCAGTGAGGACACAGTTTCAATTGAAATTACCTCAGATTAGTGTGTGGTCATTTATGCTGTATTTCTATTAGCTAAAAAATAACTCAGTACAATATTTTCTACTTGGCAGTTTATCCTGTTCTGTGCTGTTTTGCAAGATAAGCTAAGATTGTTGTATTTTTCTTCTGGCTAACTGTGGCTTGTCCACAGCAACTAGGAAGAGAAAGGAAAAAACATCACTGTCCTTTCTTCATAAGAAAAATCTCTGCTTCTAGCTCTTTGTTTTCAGCATCACCTTAAAACAGGTTTGAGGGCAATTTCCTAGTGATGGGAATGCCTAGGAAATAGTGGGCTTTACAGTATTCATTTTTTTTTTCTAATTTTTGTGAGCTTTGTTGTTCCTCCTTCATTCAATCCTTTGCCAGTAGCCAAATGGCTACACTTACGTTTCAAGCAGCAGAAAGATTTTGATGGCTTGTACTGAAAAAAAGGCAGAGTCGTTACACGTATCTCCACTATTGCTCTCCACCTCTTCTGAATAGAAAGCTTGAGATGGTTTAGGTGATACGGAGGCACACTGGAGACAGAAACCACACCAGAGCTGGAGTGATGGTTTCCTATCAAGATTAACAGCTGGTAATGCAAGAGAGCAACAAACACATAGTAAACTTGGGCTTCTTCATTGCTCTAAAGCTGTATGAGAACTATACACTGAGCTCCATATGCCTTTACCCATGGATAAAGAGATGAAGGAAAAATTTTAATAAATTTTCTTTTACCAATTTTTGCTATTAGTTACAAGAGAGTATAATCTGACTTATTTATGTAGTCATTCATTGACTAGGTAATACTGATGTAAGTTTTATAGTCATTCAAACTCTTCTTGATTTCAGGAGTATTTCTAAATACTACACACTACAAAAATTACAACTGTGATGGTTGACTGGAAATGAGAAATATTGTATTTGGGAAGTATATTATTTGAGCCCGAGAGAAAACTAATAGCAGATAATGATAAAGGAAAGGACTCTTTAATGACATTTTGTGTATTGCTTCATAAAAAAATTAACTGAGATCACATTACATAGCTAAGAACTGTCTAGAATAACAAAAAAAAAAAAAAAAGAGAGAAAGCTATATCACACTTAAATAAACTTAATATTTTCAAGGGAATTGAATACATTTCAAGGACTGTAGAAAAATAACTGAAATATCCACAGTAGTTTTAGGAGTTCTTTTTAAGAATACATGAAAGATGTTGGAAAGGATACTGGACTAGATGAAATTTAGAAGAAAATCTCAGAAATCTCATTTTGGTGAGACTCATTTCCCCTAGAACAAGGGCTTTCTAGTGCTTGTGTGCCAGAGAAATCACAGCATTTCATGACCCTTTGCACAGATCTCAAACATATTAAGTGAATTGCTACAAAATGCTTTAGAAGATCTGTTTGTCATAGATATTAAGAAACTACAGCAGCATACTGCTGTTATGGGTCTGCATGCTTGTTGTTTCACAACCTATTTTTTGTTCCTGCTATGCGAAGCCTTGTTGTCTTACGTATTACTATCACAATGCGAGATCTGTTGTTCTTTGGAACAAATAAAAGTTTGGGCATATTACAGAATGATTGGAAATACTAGATATGTATAGTCTAGCTGGTTCCATGTCAACCCTCATGTGTTTCCTCCTTGTCCTGGTGTCTGCACACATTTCTCCTGCCTGATGTGTTTTTGTTGCTGGTTTGGCTAATTCTCATTTCCTTTTGCACCCCCTGTCTGGGTGCTTTTTCCTTAGGCTCTCAGGTTTTGAGCTTGCTTGTTCTCAGACTAAGGGTGTTCATCTCCTTAAGGTGAGGTGGATCTGGGCTACTAGTGAGACTACAGAGAAGAAACTCAAATGTTTTAGCTTAAGCACTTCAGGTAAAGCAGTGTTAGAACGAATGTAGCAGCTGCAAAACAACAACATACTTAAAATTTAAGGCCATACTACATTAAAAGATGCTAGACTACATGTTAAACAACTGTCTGTGGTTACAAAGCAGCCAGACTTCTTTGAGTTTGCTTAAAAAAAAAAAAAGTTAATTTTCTACTACAAAATTGTAAATGAATAGTACCAAGCTTGTTAATTCCAAATCTTTGGTCTGGTCTGTAGTGATTAGGCGAGTTGGTGATTAAGCACTTGCTCTCCTTCAGGCTGCTCTGTTGGTGTATCTGCTTTCCTGACCATAGTACCTAGGTTCAGCCTCACTTATCAGTCTATTTTTCATTCTTGTGTTGGTTCTCTGCTGGACATCCTGACTCCTCTCCTGATTAGCCTGGCTCTAAGCAGTAACTAGCTTATTAGGAGGTCCAGCTGAGCAGTGAAATATGTGTTAATAACTTGGCTCTTCTTAAAAGGAAAAAAAATGAAAAAAATATTCACTCTATTGCACTGCCTAGGGGAAGAGGGGAAAATACAAATGAAGTGGGCGGAGGTGAGAGAAAAGGCTTTGTGGATTTAGGCAGTGCATAGCATAGGGAATTAAAGCTGTGGTAAGCAGAAGTTCCTTGCAATCAGGGAAAGAGTGAAGTTTCTCCTTCACCCCAGAAGTTTTGTCTTCTCACCAGCTGAGAAGATTTATATACGTAAAAGAAAAATAAAATAAGTGCTTTTTAGAAGAACTTGTGAAGAAGAAAAAAAGGGCTCCCGGCAAGGAAAACAACAAGTGTAAACACTTCATCTTTAACTGGAATCTGAAGACAGTGCTTGCTGCTTAAATATGCCCACAGAGAGGATGGGGAATGTGCCTGCCTACATGCACTGCAGAGGTGAAAAAGCTTCTTGAGTGAAGTTGCTTGCTGTGTGTCTAAGCTTGCACTTAAATTAGTGATGGAACTATTGTGTCACAGACAGTTAACTTTCAGTTGTACTTTCAGGTTTGCAACTCTTTGCTTTTTATTCTTCTTTATGTCCCCATGCTTGCTGTATGCTTACCTCTTGTGGTGGGTTAACCCTGTATGGACACCATGGTCCCACCAAAGATGCTCTATTACTCCACCTCCTCAGCTGGACAAGGGGAGAAAAATATATCAAAAGGCTTGTAAGCTGAGATAAGGACAGGGAGAAATCAATCAGCACTTACAGTCATGGGCAAAACAGACTTGACTTGGGGAAAATTAATTTTGTTACCAATCAAATCAGAGTTGGGTAATGAGAAATAAAATCAAATCTTAAAATCACCTTCCCCCCACCCCTCCCTTCTTCCTGGGCTCATCTTGACTCCTGATTCTCTCTGCCTCCTCCCCCCCAGCAGTGCGGGGGGACGGGGAATGGGGGTTGTGTTCAGCTCATCACACCTTGTCTCTGCTGCTCCTTCCCCCTCCGGGGAGGACTCCTCACACTCCCCTGCTCCAGCGTGGGTCCCTCCCACGGCAGACAGTCCTCCACGAACTTCTCCCACGTGAGTCCTTCCCGCGGGCTGCAGTTCTTCACGACCTGCTCCAGCGTGGGTCCCTCCCAGGGGGTGCAGTCCCTCTGGCACAGACCGCTCCCGCGTGGGTCCCCCACGGGGTCACCAGTCCTGCCAGCAAACCTGCTCCAGCGCGGGCTCCTCTCCCCACGGGCCCACGGGCCCTGCCAGGAGCCCGCTCCAGCGCGGGCTTCCCGCGGGGTCACAGCCTCCTTCGGGCATCCCCCTGCTCCGGCGCGGGGTCCTCCCCGGGCTGCAGGTGGAGATCTGCTCCTCCGTGGGCCTCCCCGGGCTGCAGGGCCCAGCCTGCCTCCCCACGGGCTGCACCTCGGGCCGCAGGGGAATCTCTGCTCCGGCGCCTGGAGCACCTCCCGCCCCTCCTGCTTCGCTGCCCTGCTGCCTGCAGAGTTGTTGCTCTCGCGTGTTCTCGCTCCTCTCTCCAGCTGCAGGCGCTCGGGTGTTTTTCCCCCCTTCCTAAATCCGTTACCCCAGAGGCGCTACCGCCATCGCTGCTGGGCTCGGCCTTGGCCAGCGGCGGGTCCGTCTCGGAGCCGGCTGGCGTTGGCTCGGGCGGACACGGGGGAACCTTCTGGCAGCTTCTCGCAAAAGCCACCATGGTAGCCCCCCTCTGCTAGCAAAACCTTGCCACGCAAACCCAATACACCTCTTCTGTGACAATATCAGAGAAAAGTTTGTGTAACTGCATGAGACTCCTTTCTACCAGTTTTCTCATCATTAGTGAGGTTAAGGATGCACAAGTCTGAATTGTATTTCTCACTGGAAATCCTACTTTTTATAGTGTATCAAACTGTTCCTTATGCTGTTTCTTCTGTTCCAAATTTAAGTTTTGGATATTTCTCTGTCTGGTGTTTTGGAAATGCATAGGACTCTCTTTACATGTCCTATGTCCTACTTTACATAACACAACAGAAGAGAAGAAAGTTTTCACTGTTGACTGTTTTCATTCAAAACTTTGCAGGTAGGAAAATTAGTTTGTATCCTCATTGCTACCATCTTCTCGCTGAAATAGCAATGCTAAAAGATATGGCTTCTTAAATATGTTGACTTATTAAGATTATGACTTGGGATGAATTTGGGTTTCATTTGATCTTAATACTGTCTCCAACGTTTTACTATGAAAGCATTCTGCTCCAAAACATGGTTATGACACTGAGATGGAATGATTGACAGAGGAAAACATATAACAGGTTGAAATCCTTTTTAGGTTAAAAACGACTATCAAACGGTGAGAGAGATTAAGCTGTTATAAATCTTCAGGAGTAGAAATGATTGTGTACAGCTGAGGCATTTAAAGAAAGTGTACTGTAATAACAGCTGGATTATAAATGAACAAAATATTAAACAGTGGTCAATGTTTCCTCTATCTTCTTGTAGTTAGCTACTCAGTAGGTCAAAGTGAACAGTGGAAACACAAAATGCAGTTTGATCTACAGCCCTTAGCAAGTAACTTAACCTTGCTCTGTGCTACAGATTTGATGCATAACTTCCTTTTAGGATGTTAGTTGTAAGGCTTAAGTTTTAATACTTTAACCTCTTCAAGATTCATAGGCCTAAGAAGGCTACATACATGAAATTTACTTATGTTGAATCTTACCTTCGTTTTTCCTTTTTTTTTTTTTTTTTTTTCCTCTTCCCTTCTCCTCACTGAATGACAAATTCTGGAAGATGTTCCATTTAATTAAGGTGTTAAGCACTGAGCTCACCTCCTGAGATGCACATGTTGTTATCCAGGGGATGCTCACAGCAGGTTGCAGTGCTTTCAATGGTACTAGAGCAACCTGCAATAGAATACTGGTAGTGCAAGCCAGGATGCTTTGCTTCAAGTAGTAGACTGAAAATTTAAGATGTCACAAATTGAGGTCTTTCTACATTGGTTGTGTGTATATTGGATACTGTTTAGCTAATTTGATGTTTTCCTTTTTTTAACTAGCAGTCAGTCTCATAGAAGGCTGCATCTGATTATTTTATCATTAATAATGGAAATGTGGGTCAATATTACACTGCAGTGTTTTGTGGCTTTACTTTATGCTCTTGAAATATCATACAAAATTATGTGGCTTCTTGTGTTTTTTTTTTTCTGTAATATTTCATATATTTTTACATAATCTAATTATTAAAAAATAAATAATAATAATAAAAAAAAAAACACAAAACCCCCAAAACCTATGTTAAGAAGCTAAGTTTCATTCAGTGATATGTATCATACATCTCAGTTCCTTTCCATGACCAGTATCTGACCCTTCCTTTCCAGCAATGATGATTCTCCCTTTGCTTTTTACTTGTCTTCCTTCAGTTGGCTTTTCTTTCAATCAGTTTTTATCTTGTTGCTATACAATGCTAATAAAGAATTTGGCTGATGAGCAGAATATGAAAGCTGGCATAAATAATTCTGTTTCAAATAGGAAAAATACTGCTCATTGTTTCCTGATTCCTGTGAACCTGCTTCTGTGTTCTTACACAAAGTAGATGCTCGTCAACTTTTTCATGATCACTGGCTTATCTGAAAAAATCAATCGACTAACAATAAATGAGTGGAGATCAAGCAGAGGAGGATTAATATAGCACAAAGTTCTTGTATGCTACAGAATACAATAGGCAAGAAAAATCTGTCTGCCTTCCTGCTATATAATGATGAATGCTGATGATTACCATGAATTGAAGAATTCAATCGCTTTATATGCAGACCTGATATAAAACTGGATATTCCTATCTTTTGAATAAGATACAAACGGTAGAGTATTTTTTGATATTCAGTTCCATCCCTAGCACAGTCAGTCCTAGTCAGTAGAAGATATTCTTCCTTCTGTATTTTCATCTGGATTCTTTCCTCCCTGGTCTGTGAGCACTATAGCACTGTACACTGCAGATCTTTACTACTTAAAAATTATTTGGTTTATTGAAGCTAGTTTTATTTTATTGAAGTCCTCCCCATCTTTTCTTGTATAACTTTACTTTTATTAGCTACAATGCTTTTGCTTTTGAGGGGAATAAAAGTTGTTGTACCTAATGCAAATAAATTCCTTATTAGTTATAACTGAGTTCCTGCAAACTCCTCAGAGAGTGTGAGGAACACCAAAGACATCCTTTGTGTTCAATGGGATAAGAATAATTTTGACATTAAAGCTGGTGAAATCATGAGCCCTTTTGTGCAGAGTGTAAGCCTGGATATTGTGAAGAGGACACTTTTTTTCTGTGTTAAGGGAGTGCTTGATTTGCAATTCACAAGTGATGGTGAGAAAATGTGATGTTGAACAAGGGAAGTTACTGCCCCAGAGATGCAACTGTTGTGGTACTAGCAGATGTCAGATCAGGGTTTTATCTTAGTTCTCATGTATTACTGTATATTGATCCCTAGGAAAGAATTAACATAATTCTTCCTTTGTCCAAACCAGACTTATTTCTATTGAAATTATCCTAATGAAGTATCTTGAGCTTTGTGAAGAAAGAGGTTGCCTTTCCACATAAAAACGTAGATACTTCAAGTGTCGTCCTTAAAAGAGGAGCTGCATCTAAATAATAGTAGATGAAAAATCAGACCAATGTCAATCACATGAACCTATCTTTGTTTTTCTTTAATTTTCTGCTGTGGTTTCTCTTGAAAATTTGAAAGCAAAGGTTTTGTTACCACACTCAAAAAATTAATCAGGTCCACCTAAAGAAATAACTCAGACACCAGGTAATGTTCAAAATAATCTTTTTTTTTTTCTGGAGTAATTTGTTGCAGGCTTCAGATTATGATTACAATTTACTAAATTTACAAATGGGTAAATGTGATTTTTTTTTCTTCTTTTTTTTTTAAACATGCCTTGGCTAAAACTGGCAAGTTATCACCAGCTTTTCTTCTGTTTTGCAGACCTGCTTCTTGGGTAACTATGAACAGAAATTAATGGTTTCAATGGTATCTGCATATGTCACTTGTCTACACTAGGGTGTTTCCCTTAATTGGTAAAACTAATCATTGTTTAAAGCAAAGAAGTGTGCCTGCTCTTTGTACAAGCTTGTTGTCCTCTACACATATATGTAAAAATGTGAGGAGGAAATACTTCATTCTAAACAAACAGCTGTGGACCTCTGTCGTATTTCTGTTGGGGGAGTGGAAGGTTGTGATGTCTGAGTTCCACTGAAGCAAGCTGCAAGTTCAAGCAAACCTGAGCTGAAGTACAGCTGTTGTGGTGCATATGATGTTCCAGCCTATTGTCTACTCTGAAATACAGCTGTCACTGTAAAGTAGCGTATCAAAATGACTGAGGTGCTCAAACTGCAATAGTTTCGAGTGCATTCTACAGTTCAGTACTTTTTTTTTTTTTTTTTTTTTTGTAAAATTGTTGTATTGGAACTTGTGTTCCAGAGTCTGTACAGAAGCAGTCAGAAACAGTGCTTTTAAAGCCTAGAATTATCTATGACAATTATATATTTTTCTGTTCACTGTAAAACTTTATTTGAAAAAACAAACAAGCAAAACAAAAAACCCAACCCAAGATACCCCAACCAAACCCATACAGCTGTGTTTAAGATGGATATCACTTCTGAACATCAGATTCTTTCCAGATTCTGAGACTAGGAAGTGCAGCATTGAATGGCATAGGCTGAAAACCATCAACATAGTTGGGCAGCCACTAGCAAAATAATTTTTTGTTGTATTGGTGTAATGTGAGAAACATAAAACAATCCTAGTGCTGTTTTATTTTCTTAAACATAGAGAGTAGCCAGACATTTATCTGTAAGTCTCTTACTGAAATTTATATATTACTCAGGAAAGACAGACTGACTTGTTTTCTTTCTCAGTACAGTATATAGACGTGATCAGTACAGTATATAAATGTGCTGCTGATATCTGTGGAGTTACAGTTTAGACTCAGTTAGACTTCTGAGTTTATATAGACTCAGTTTATGTTCTACTTCAGAAAGGTATATGTGTCACTAATCCATGACAAGTCTGTGGTAAAGTCTAACACTTATTTTTCAGCTTTTTGTTAGGGGGAAAAGAATAAATAGTGAAATTAGGGAACAAGCTCACCTACTGCTTGAAAAAAATATAATTAGCATACTGAAAGGCTAATATTTTATTAATTAAAAAAAAAATTTCTCGGATCCCTAAAAAGTAGTTGCCTTGAAGATACTGGCAAAGCAGCATTTAAAATAAGTTCCTGACATCCCCAAGATGTGTTTCTTTCATTTGATCTCTGTTCAAGCTTGCAGAACAAGAAAGCAAAATTAATTTTCAGAGCCTGAAGTATCTTTATGGAAACCCATGTTATGGAATAAAGCAAAATATGTTAATTCACATAGAACTGTAATGTTGGTACCAACACAGATCTTTAGTCTTAAACTGGGCTTAGTATTTTACTTTTGACCTATTTTTGCAAATAGCTTTCAAAACTTTCTGTTCATTAAAGGTATTTTTTCAGTAGAATACAAGATCATATGGCAAAGAGAAGTGAAGGTGAATCAAAACATATGGTTTCCTTTTTATTTCACATGAGAATACTGGTGTATATAAAAACTATATGCCAGAAATATCAGTGAATTGTGATTTGATGTAAGTGACTCTGTTTGACAGGAGCTAATTTGTACAAAAAAATTCTCATGAAGTTG